ATAAGGTGCTGTCTCTCTCATGTTCCTGCCTTGGATAGTGCCAACTAAAGTCTTTACTATGTATTTTAAGCTCTAAATCAGGCTAATCTTAAAGAGAAAAAGAGTTGTATTAATCAAGTTACAGTACACACAAGGGATTTCATTTCTGTAGGGGGATGGTGCAAAATGCAATGGGCACTGAGTTAAATGATAGAGGTTAGGTTAACACAGAAGATGGTTTCAGAATGGAGCCCCACGGCCATGTCTTAATGAAGATAAGGGCCATTTTTACTTTAGGTCTGCTTAAATGAAGATTTAAAGATTTATTGAAGGTTTCTCTGTTGGTAAAGTAACATGCCAAACTGGAGTCTACAAAGGAATTAAGGCTTGGACCACTTTTTCTTTAAGGATTCTTTTCAATACTTGGTATAGATGCCAAAATAGAATTTAGCTAATTAAAATTAAATTGTCCCCCAATCTAAAATTCCCTCTGCAGTTTCATTCCAGAACATCACAAATATAAAGTAATAATATGAATATAGGCTGCCTTCCAACATGCCCCAGCCCTCAAAAAAGATCTTTTGAAAGGAAAAAAAAAACATGAATGTATGGGAAAAAAGTCACACCCATTTTAGGTCACACAATTTTTATACAAGTTAGATTTCTGGGAAAAAGTGCAGCAAGTATTCAGTCTGATATGATATTCTGGCCATTCTAAAGACCTTTTCTTTCTCTGACATTTCACTATAGAACTGACATAATTTCAATACATGTTGTTCCGGTTATCCCAGGGGGTTGTTATTTCAGTCCCTACAAATCAAGAGCAAGGCTTTTAAAATTCAAGGAGAAAGAGAGACAACTTGATGGTTTACAGCAGGGGTTCTTAACCTTTTTTTGTGTAATGAACCCGTGTGACTGTCTGGTGAAAACCAAGGACACTTTCTTGGAATAATTTTTTTTTAACTGAAGGAAATCCTGGATTTCACTTAAAGGAAAATGAAAAATAAAGATGTTATCTTTTTTCTCATCTAAGTCCCTGGACCCTCTGAAATCTATTCACAGAGTGCTGTGGAGTTCTCGAGCCCCTCAGGTTAAGAAACCCTGATTTAGAGGGAAGATATTAAAAAAAATTCTATTTATTTCCTCTCCTCTTCCCTCCAATGGGCATTTAATATTTACAAAGAAAAGACTGTTAGATGGTGTTCTTTACGATAGAGTAGTTTAGTGTACTTTTTTTTTTGGATCTATGCAACTTTTCTCAGGACCCCACAAAAAAAAACTATATAAGGCAAAAAACATTTAGAATTTAGGTGAAATTAACTCTTACCTACTCTGCACTCCTGAATAACTTATATTTGATTGAATCATATTCCTCCCTTCTTCATAACCTTATATTTGTTTGCCAAAGCTTTGCTTAGGCTGACTAATTATCCATTCATTCAGCTGAATGCCTACCAGGTCTTATGCTAATGTTAAACTGTATATACTCTTGTCTGGTGCTAGATGTCTGCAGAAATCAGCCTGAAAATACAATTTGCCCAGGATCGTGGATTGAGAATTGGAAGAAATTTCAGAGATTCAGGGATGGGGAACCTGGGCCTCGAGGCCATACGTGGCCTTCTGGGTCCTTGGGTGAGGCCTTTTGACAGAGTCCAAGTTTTACAGAACAAATCCTTTTATTAAGGGGATTTGTTCTGTGAAGTTTGGATTCAAAGGGCCAAACGTGAAAACCTGGAGGTCCATATGTAGTCTCGACGCTGAAGGTTCCTCACCCCAGCCAACCTCCTCATTTTAGAGCTGAGCAAATGGCAGTTTAGGAAGCTTAAAATGACTTGTCTAGAGATATACAGGCACTAAGTGGAAGAGCCAGGATCAAATCCAGATCCCAAGACTAAAAAAACAGTACTTTCCCCACTGTATCATGCTCCTCTTCCTCTGTTTAGAAACTAGAAGGAAGCAGTGAAAAGCATGGGGTATGGGGCAGCATCTGCCATTCTCCCTGGATACCCATCTGCCTATGCCACTGCTCTAAGATGGGCAAGGATATTCAGAGACATAGCTGCATCTGAAAGCTGGCCTCTGGGGTCAGGCTTTGTGATGTGAAACAGATCAGTTTTCCCTTTTGGAGATTCTGGAGCTGGGCAGATGGATGAGAAAGCTGGGTAAACATCACACTGGGCAGGCTGATGGATGCACAGCGAGTGGGAGAAGCTGAAGAGGCCTCCTAACATACATGTGGCCAAAGACCTTATTCAGCAGCCATATTCAGGGTGTCTGTGGTTGAAAACTGCTATCTATAGCCTCAGGATGGGAAAAGAGCTAACAATAACAATTTCTAATGATGGTTATAAAGTACTCTAAGGTCTAGAAAGCCCTTTAAACACATTATCTAACTTGGGCCTAAAGACAACCCCATAAGTAGCAACTCAGGATCAGAGAGATTAAGGGACTTTCCCGTCATCATACAGCTAGTAATCACCAGAGGCAGGATTTGAATCCATGTCTTCCTGATTCCAAGTCTGGCTCCTACTCATTATATTATGCCTCCCCCACTCCTTGGGCTAGAGTTTAGCGGCTGCTTTAGCTCTGCTGAGAGTGTCTCTTTGGAGATCTAACTCATTTCTTTAATTTTATTCACGCCCCCCAGACAGGCACTATTCAGTATGGACTCTGTACCTTGTACTTACTAGTTGAAGATTCCCTTCTAAATTTTAAATCTAAATCTAAATTCTAAAAATTCCCTTTTGTAAATAAAGGGATGGTCTGTTTTATACTGTCTGAGTGTGAGAGAGGCAGAGGAGACAGGGGTGGAGGTGGGGGAAGAAAGATAGAGAAAGGGGGAAGGAGCAGGAGAAGAGGAGAGAGAGAGAGAGAGAGAGAGAGAGAGAGAGAGAGAGAGAGAGAGAGAGAGAGAGAGAGAGAGAGAGAGAGAGAGAGAGAGAGAGAGCCCCTGAGTGCAAGTGCCCCAAAGCTGAGCTGGATTATGTAGAGCCGAATCTCTCCATCACAACTGAAGTAGTCTCAAGTGTTCAGGGTTTAGGGAGATAGGAGGTGCTATCAGAAGCTTTCAGGCTTTCGAGCTATCATTTATGCTTACTCCCACCTTCTACTCTGTGTGTGTGTGTGTGTGTGTGTGTGTGTGTGTGTGTGTGTGTGTGTATTAAACAACTAAAACTCACTTCACTTACTTTGTGTGCCCAACAGTTTGTTCTGAAATCAAGGACTGTATCTCATGAGAGTGTCAAAACAAACTCTTTCCCATCTGGTTCAGCAGTACAACCACAACCAGCTTTTCCACTATATTTTTTTTCTAGATTGTTGACCAAGACTTTCAACTCTTTCCCAGGCTCTCATTGAGGGACGTTCTAATCAGCATGGATCTGAAGTCTAGAGCTGACAGGAGGAAGGCTAATCTATAAGGCTAGACAGCCGACTAAATTCTCACACACAAAACAACGATTCTTTGAGGTTGATTAGATACCAAAGGCCTTTTCAGCTCTAATTCTGGCAGACTGACCCACTACAAGAGTCTATGAAGCCTCAGTCAAGGTCCTCAGTAAACTTCAGACAATAAAAGGATGGCAGGCCTGGGGGGGTGGGGGTGGGGAAGACAGATCCCGGTCCCATTAGTGTAGTCTATTCAGTTTGTTTATCAGAGGAAGGCATGGTCCAGAGTTCAGTATTGGGAGTCTGGAGCAGAGCTGGGACTAAAACACAGATTTCCTGACTCAGGAGATAACTCTGAGTAAGTTTCCTATTCCTTACCCCCCCCCCCCCAGCCCCAATCCTCTTACTAGGTTCTGTTTTGAAAAATTTCAGGATCACTGAGTAAGAGGAGAATGACACTACTACACATTTTATTGACAGTGTTTTAAAGTTTACAAAGTACTTTTCTCAAAACAATCCTATGAGACAGGTAGGAAAGTATTTTTTACTGTGATTTTAGAGGAGAGAATTGAAGGTCTCAGAAGTTAAATGTCTTATCCTGGGTTAAACAGCTAATAAGTGTCTGGACAGCACTAAACTTCTCTTCCTTTTTCTCTTGAATTCTCCTAGTTAGGAAGCTTTACTCATATTCTTTCCATGACCCTCTGTCAATTTGTCTCTGAAGCCTCCCCTGACCCTGCCCAGGACCACTCCTTCCATCTCTCCTTTAAACTTACCTTATTTTTCCTTATATTAGAAGTTATTTGGTTCCTGATGCTGCCCTCCAGTACATTACCTCCAAGAGAGCAGGACCTATGTGAAATCTCTTAATGAGGCATTGAGCTGAGCTTGGAGTCAGGAAGACACCTGGTAAAGTCACTTAACTTGTTTGCCTCAGTAACCTCAACCATAAAATGGGGATTAATAACAACATATGCATCAGATGAAATAATATTTGTAAATGGCCTTGCACATAGTGGCACTAGATAAATGCCTACCCTCTTCTCTCCAAGGTATCGGGACTATAGTATGTGCTTAATAAATACAAGTTGAATGGCATTGGCATTAAGTTAGGTGCTTTTTTTTTAACCATTCACTTCTACCAGTCCCACTCCGGGGGTATACCGATCCCATCCTTCCTTCAGAGGCAGCTATATGGAGCAAGGATAGAGGGAAGGCCCAGGAGTCAGGCAGATCCGAGTTCAAATTCAACCTTAGAAGCTTAATAGTTATTCGAACCTGAGCAAGTCACTTATATTGTCTTCCTTGGTTGCCTTATCTGTAACATGGAATAATAGTAGCACCTATCTCACAGGGTAGTGGTGAGAACCAATAATAAAGTGCTTCTTTCTTTCCTCGATCCTATTCCAAAGCAGTGGGTACACGGAACCACACGAGGTTACCTATCTCGTACCTCCCTAAGTAGTGGGGGGTGGGGAGGAGGTAAGCAGGGAATCTGGGGCTTGCAATCCCTCTCCAGTGGAGCCGGAGAAGGGTGGAGGGGGGCACCGGATGGACCTTAGTGCCCAAAGCCTAGGGATGGGGTCGGGGGTGGAGGAGGTGGAGAGAAGGGCTGGAATGCCCGGGGCGCTTACTTGGGGGCCGGCGCTGCCCGAGCTGCTGCTATCGACTAGGCTGCTGCTGCTGGTGCTGCTGCTGCTGCTGCTGCTACCAGGACTACCGCTGCTGCTGCTGCTGCTGCGGCTGCCGCCACTGCCTCCTGTTCCAAGGAAGCTTATTTGTGCGTGCATGGGGCTAGGCCCGAGCAGGAGCAGAAGGCGCGGGGCCAAGGGAGCAACGGGCCCGAAGGGGCTGCCTAGGAGAGGCCCCTGGCGGAGTCCGAGTCGGAGCCCAACTGCCCTCCTGCCCGCGACCGCAGCCAGAGGCCAAACCATGACGCAGTCCCGCGGGGTCAGAGCGAGCAAGCTGGAGATCCAGGGACCACCTCTCTGGCCCGGCCCAGCCCGGCCCGCCCCGTCCTGCCACTCCCCCTTCCCCTTTTCCCTCCCGGGATCTGGGCCAAGTGGGTGTCTCCCAGTAGGTCCCCTCCTCCCTCCTTAAAGTGACCGTGCCTCCTATGTCCCGGGCGACGGAGGCAGGCCGAGGGGATGGGGGGAGGTTGTGCTGATCCGAGGAGGCCGTGTGGGGTGCGGAAGGTGGACCTAGAAATAGGATTGTAAACTTGTAAAATGGGGCAGATTAAAGTTGTTTTTGGCTGCTTATTGGAGGGGAACGGGACCTTCTTCACCAAGCTTTAAAATGTTAGAACTAAGAAGAATGCAAAGTGTAGTGCAAAGCACCCCTAGCTTTGGCTTCAAGGTTTGTTGTTGTTGTTCAGTGGTGTTTGACTCTTCCTGACCCAATTTCTTGGCAAAGATACCGGCGTGGTTTGCCATTTCTTCTCCGGTTCGTTTTACAGATGAGGAAACCGAGGCAGGCAGAAGTCAAGTGACTTGTCCAGGGTCACAGTGTCTGAGGCCAGATTTGTACTCAGGGAGATGAGTCTTCCTGATTCCAGGCCCAGAGCATTATCAGATGAGCCTCCTAGCTGCCCTTGGCATTGGAGATGGATTCAAACCCCACCTCTGACATTCCATGTGCAACCTTTGGCCCTCAGTTTCCTTATCTGTAAGGTGAGGGGACTGGACTAGGATCTAGTCACTAGGTGGTCTCTGAAGTCCCTTTTAAATCTACACCCCTGGGACCTTAAAGTGATACATCTAGATCTGGAGGGAACCTTTGAATTTATCTTCAGCAAAACCTTTACTTTGCTCATAAGGAAACAGGCCCTAGAGAGAGTGATTTGTCCAAGATCACACTGATAGTAAGGGCCAGGTTTCAAACTGTGACTTCTAAGTTCAGTACTCTTTTTAATATGCTTGTCATCTGAACATTGAGTCTGAAGTCAAGAAGGCCTGAGTTCAAATCCCACCCGAAGGCACTGATCAGCTGTTTGACCCTGGGCAAGTCACTTAACCTCTGTTTGCCCCATTTCCCTCATCTATCAAATGAGGATAATATTAGCACCTACCCTCCAAGATTGTCATGTGGATCAAATGAGATAATTTTAAAGCACAGTGCCTAGCACATAATAAGTACCATATAAATGTTAGCTATTTATTATTATTATTATTTTAGGGGATTTAGAACTGATGAAACCTTACTTCAACACTTATTTTACAGATGTATAACATTCCTCCCCTCCCCACACTGGCAGACTGTGTTCTCAAATGCTACTCCTCCCAGGGTTCTAAGGAGAATCCTGGCTATTGTGTATTATTATTTATCATTTATTAATTGTTTAAACCTAGATATGTGTGGCTGGAAATCTGTCTGACCCAAAAAGCTTACTGTAGAGGTCAGGTAGATCTCAGAGACCTCCAAGGAAGCCAGAGGATTATAAAGAATGCTTAGATCCCACTTTCTAGCCCAATAAAGCTAGGTTCAAACAATATAAATAAATGATAAATAATAATCCACACTGTACTCCTGACACTAGTTCATGAACCACCATCAGTCTTGTTAAGTCATGTCTAACTCTTTGTGACCCCATTTTTATGGCTTTTTCTTGGCAAAGATAATTTGCCATTTCCTTCGCCTAGGGTCCCCATTTTACAGTTGAGGAAACTGAGGCAAATAAGTTAAGTGACTTGCTCAGGGTCACACAGATAGTAAATGTCTGAGGCTGTGTTTGAACTCAGGTACTCTTGACACCATACCCAGCCACCTAGGTGCCACCATCTACTTCCTCTTGTCTGCTTTCTCTTAATAAGCAACCAGTTGACTCGATTCTTCAGCAAAATGCACGGTATAGCAAGCACAGTAGTTACAAAGCATTTCCCTTACTCCCCAAACCAGGGACATATTCTCTCACAAGTACATAAAAGTCTGTTGGGATATGAGTATACAGTGACGGACATATGTAGAGAACACTCAAGGCCTAGGCCGTTCACAACTGCAGAATTGATGAACCTTAGCGCTATTTTTTTTTCCAAGAAACTGAAGATTTTCCCTATTGTCATAACGAGGAGGAAGGATGAATAAGTCCACTCCTTTGATTAGCTGGGCTAGGTCTTCATATAGTACAGTATTTCAGCTGGGTCAATATGCTCCTGGCTTGGCTCCAACAGGTTGCTTGGCTCCTCATTGCATGGAACTACTGGTGGGTTCTGCCACTGGAGTAGCTGCTGCCGGAGAGGGCTGGGCAGGTAGCCCAGCTGTTGGACTCTTCTAAGGGTGGCATCTCTGTAGTCTGGTTTAACCTACTGTACTCGCTGGATTCAGTCTTTGATGAATGTCGATGGATGTCTAGGGGTGTATGGGTGTTGAGGGAAGACTAGTACCTCTGATGTGAGGGCTGCTTTCCACCTTTGGTGTCCACCAGCCACCCAACTCTCACCTGTGGCTCCAAGAAGCCACACCCAAGTAAACCATTTTGGCAGACAGGCAAAACCAGTTTGAGGGTAACCAAAGGACCTCAAATCCATTGGTTAGTTGAGGAGTGTGTGTGTTTATTCCAAGCATGTGAAGATTTCCCTGGTAGAATAGGTGGATATGAACGGTTTCAGTGGGTTGTGAAGGCAGTGGAAGCAGGGTGGAGCACTTAGAACTTGGTTAGACAAAGAAAATGCCAAGGTCTTCCACTACATCCCTAGTCATTGCCAGTTGTCTTGACTTTTGTATCACTATTGGACTTGGATGACTCTGGAAGACAGAATGAAACCTTTGACTTGGGCAACTCTGCCTCACTTAAATCTAATTTATGCAGAGGTCAAAAGACATCACCCATACCATTTTACCATTTTTACCTACTTCAGACTCCTGTGGCTACAGGCAAGTGATGAAGCAGCAAGTGCAGATACACTGGGAGCTGTAGTCACAACCCTGCACACAGGTAGGTGGCCTAGGCTATAGGATTGTCTTCTCACTGGACTGAAGTAGCATTGGGATAATCAGTCCCCTGGGTGTCTGAGTAGCCTTTTAAGGATTGCACAGCTCACCTCCTGGCTTGAGGAAGGGGCTAGAAAAAGTGCTCTAACCTAACCCTGGCCTGCTTACCATGGTAGGCGGGAATCCTACCCTGCAGTCAAAACACACAAAAAAAATGTACAAAAACTTTTGCGAAGGTGATTCCTCTCACCATTGGTACATGGAATATATACATGCTTATAGACAACACAAAATCCAGTAGACTTGAAAGACAAACAGCTCTTGTTGAAGAGAACTTAGTAGGTATTGCATCCAAAGAGCAAACCTGAGTGAAACAAGGCTGGCAAATGAAGGCTAGCTTACCAAAGTCAGAGCTGGATGCAGGTTTTTCTGGAATGGCCACAATGATAGGGAGCTCTGTGAAGCTGGTATAGGTTTTGCAACCAAAACTAATCTAGTTAACACGCTTCATTGCCTACTAAAAGGAGTGAATGACAGGCCATTGATACTTGAAGAAAGCGTCATTGCACCATCATCAGGGCTTATGTTCCCACCATGACGAACCCTGATGAGGTCAAAGAAAAATATCATAAAGACCTGGAGACCTTCGTCATCAATGTGCTGAAAGAGGCCAAGCAATTCTGGGTGACTTTAATGCCAGAGTAGGCACGGAGTATCGGACATGGCAGGGAGTCCTTGGGAGGAATGGAGTCAGAAACAGCAATAGCAATGGTCACTTACTCCTGAAGACTTTTTTGTCTGATGACCTTATCACCAACACTGTCTTCCATTTACTTAAATGCATGAAACTTCATGGGTGCACCCTCACAGCAAACATGGGCATTTAATAGACTATGCCATTGTAAGGAGAAGAGACAGATAAGATGTGAGAGTGATGAAAGTCATATGTGGAGAAGAGTGCTGGACACATGACAAACTTAGCCCTTCCACGCTAAACATTTGCATTCAACAAAAATGGCAGCCCCAAGGCAAGGCAACTACCAGGAGACTTAACATCAACAGATTAGAGCCCTTCTCCATGAATGAACACTTTGTTGCTAATTTAGAGGGAAAGTTGAACCAATACATGGTTGGCAACAGTGGAGCAGAAGAAGAATGAGCAGCTTTCAGAGATTTGGTGTATAGTACCACCTTTACTCATCTAGGCCAGACCACTTGTAAACATCAAGATTGATTTGACAACTGTATGACTCTGGGCAAATCACTTAACCCTGATTGCCTCACTAAAAAGCAAAAAAAAGATTGGTTTGACGAAAATGATGAAGAAATTCAGAACCTGCTAAACAAAGACAATGAGAACTCCATAGGGTATACCAGCGGGATAGTTTGTCCATCTTTAAGAAGGCAGCATTTATCTCCATCAAAATTAAAGTGCAAATAAAGCTTAGAGAGATGCAAGATTTTTGACTCAGTAAGGAAGCAGATGAAATTCAGTTTTACTCTGATAGTAACAATCTAAAGTGCTTTATGATATCCTGAAGGTTATTTATGGGCCAGTGGGCCAAAGACATATGGTGTACCTCAACTACTCAGTGTTGTTGAGCAAAGCAGTATTACAGTATTTCAAGAAAAACATGAGACACACGAATTTGGGGACATCTCCAAATGTTCATGTGGACTATTTCTACCTGACCTGTGGTAGAGTCTTCTAAGGTCACATTGGTCTGATCAGTCCCAGTTGGACACACTGTACCTTGGCCCTGACACAATGATGTCATTTTGATCCTCTTAGAGAATGAATGACAACCAACCAATAGGGTGCTAAATGCTCCTCAGAGGGTTACAGTGTGCTTTTAGCTAGACTAAAATTTAGACTAAGATTGATAGAAGCCTTTCTGCTGTGGCTCCCTCAAGCCTCAGCTGTGAGGTTTGGAACCCCAGTGACTCCCTGTCACCTCCAGGACCAAATATAAAGCCTCTGTTGGTCATTCCAAAACAAGACATGCTTCTAAGAATTTTCACTAACTGTCTGTCCTTCTTGCATGGAATGCTCTCCCTCCTCATCTCTACCTCCTGTCTTCTCTGGCTTCCTTCAAGTCTCAGCTAAAATCTCAGCTTTTACAGGAAGTTTTTCCCAATCCC